AACTAGGTGGGGAGAAGCTCAAACTACAGGGCATTTCAACATAGTGACAGTGCAAAAAGTAAGATTGACTGGGAGTGAATACACTGGTTGATTACAAATTATTGATAATTTTTACAATGGTTGGGACTGGGCTGTTCTTATAACGATCTGTTCGTGCTCGTAAGGGCTGGATGCGGTTGTGGTGTCGATCAACAATTCTCGGGCGAGGGATCTCGGGTGGTAGTAGGAGCTGGTGTCGAGGATGGTGCAGAAGCTTCTCACCAAATTTGCAGATGAGGTCGTGGTGATGGTCAGTGAGAGCTGAGAGGGCCAGTGTGTTGAGCGCTTCTTGATATGTGGAGTAGGGAAGGAGAGAATAATCTTGCATGCCCTCTTTGCACCTTTTCTAGGTGTTTACGTTGTGTGGCATTTAGGAAGGAAGACCAGGTAGGGGAGGCATATGTGAGCTTGGGAAGTATGAATGTTGAGTAAACACTGAGGAGCTAGAAGACTGTGGTTTCCAATTTAGTTTGTTGTCTATGGTGACGCCGAGGAGCTTAGTGGAATCTACAACCTGGAGTGTGTTGGGACTTAAAGTAATGGAAGGGGGTGGGACAACGTCGGAGGAGAGGTTGATGTGCATAACCATTGTCTTAGTATGGTTGATGGTGACGTGGTTGTTGGTGGCCCAATTTTGGAGACTCTTCAATAAATCCTGAAGGGCGGTATAGTCGGGAGCAGAATTGTTGACGCTGATCCCAATGGTGGAGTCGTCAACATATTTCCAGCGAGCAGGGGTTTCTCTTAGGGCATCATTGATAAGCATAAGGAAGCATAGTGTTCCCATCTTGGTGCTTTGGGGACGCCACAGGTGAGTGACTGAAAGGTGGAGACAGCCCTTCGGAAGCGTACAGCTTGGCGTCGGTCGCTGAGGAAGTCTGTAAGCCATAGTGTAAGACGTCTTCGAAACCCGAGGTCAATAGCTTTGTTGATGATTAAATTGTGGTCGACTAGGTCGAATGCCTCAGATAGCGGTATATGGAGTCGAGAAAGCTGACAAGACAGTGAGTGGTGGAGGAAGTTTTCATATTACCAAATTGCTGAGGATCTACGGCTCCTGATTTAAGGATTTGGGTGGTTGACTTGGGCACAGGTGACACATATGAAGTCTTCCAGTCAGCTGGGCATCTGGCTTGACTGAGGGAAGCATTGATGATGGAACAGAGGGGTGGAGCGTTTTAACTTCAGTTTGTCCAGACGTTTTGCTACTTCAAATTCTTCTACTAAGTCAGTGGGAAGGGGGGCTGGTAGGTAAGCAGGGAGACTGGTTGTGTCAAGACGGGGAAGCGTCTGGCATATAGTAACGAAATGGTTATTTGAGTGCTCAGCTGCGTCAACATTAGTGAGATAGCTAAGGAAGGGGAGAGGGTGTGTCTTATTGTTTAGTCCACAGAGTTCTTTAAGCTTACCATACCATTGACTGATGTTGGTTTGTGTTTGTGTGTGTGTCTGTGTGCGTGCGTGTGTGTGTGTGTATTACTATAGCGGCGGTCGTGGCAATTAACTTATTTACTGACTTAGTTTACTTTGTATATTTTCATGTAAGCAGTTTTCTTGACCTTTACTTATCCCTGTTATTGTATACTGTAAAATGTTCAGATGTTAGTGAGAAGGTTCTTCTTCTTCTTGGGTGTTTTGTTGCTGTTCTGTTTTCTTTCTTTTTTCTTCCATTATTAATATTATTATTATTATTAAAAACAATGAATGTGTTTTGGGGGCTCACATGGGTTGTTGTCCACGGGAAGAAGAACAAACAGGAGGAGGAGGAGGAGGAAGGGATAAAGAAGAATCGGCGGCGCTAGTGAGTGAAGCCCTTTGTATACCCGCAGCCACCAGTCAGTTCACCTATAAACATTCTCATTAATATATCCTCCCCCTCCACCCCCCAAAAAAGAGAGAAAAAATTCCTCGTTATATCACCATTACTACATACGGATATAACTTATATCTTCATCAAGGTCTTGTCTCGATAATGGAACTGCAGTTTATAAGGTATAATTAAAGAAAAATATACCAGCGTTTTATGGGAATTCGGAGAAATGTAAACATGCTCTCCCTTCCTCCACTGGATAAGGTAAACACCAGCTTGTTACCATCCAACATTTTCCTCTTTTGTTTTCTGTGCGTTTCTTTACACCTTGTTATTTTCATTTGATCAGCCACCCCGAATCGTTTACGTGGAACTGTTTTATGAGGTTATGAGAACATCAGATGTCTTTTGTTAGGTTATCCTTCGTCGAATTATTGTCTTTCTGTTTACCATTGTTTGTAAACCTGTGCACCAGCTATGTATAATGAATACCCTTGCTTTGTCTATATATACAGTATATTCTTAATTGTATGCCTGGATGGCCTCTACACAAACTAAAACATTGTAAACAGGAAAAAGTCACAGGCCGCCGAGGTGTTTGTGGGGTTATGAGATGTTGGTTCACACTCAGGATGGGATGGAGAAAGGAAACTCACAATGTGCTCTCTGTATACCTATTGTATTGGATGTACAATGCAGCTTGGTGCTGGGGGGTGGCAGCGTGAGTCCAAACGTGATGTAGAGAGTGGTTGGTGAGGGTGCTCAGAGGAGAACACTCAGCTTGTAGGGCGGATAGTCGCCGGCGGGAGCGGGAGCCGCCAGGCAGGAGCGGAGGAGGTGTTGCTGCAGGTAGAAAGAGCTAGGTCAGGCCACGTGAGGTCTTATATAGGGGGTAGGCGTGGCTTGATGGACTCCGCTTTGTTCGGCGGCGCTGGTTACCGACCTTGACCACGAGGCGTACTCTGGGGAATTTGCGGGGTCGGCTGGTCAGGGACACGGCAGTTGTAGGGGAGGAACCACTACACGTTTTTCACATAACTTAAATAAGCCGAGGTTAGGTTAGGTTATGTTTATGGCAAGGTTTAAGAAGTTGTTAAGGTTAAGGTAAGGTTAAGGTAGGGTCAGGTTAAGGTTAAAGTAAGGTAAGGTTAAGGTCTCGTTGAATTAGATTAGGTTAGGTTAAGTGTTAATTTTAGGTTAGGTTAGGTTAAGTTAGGTTAAGGCCAGGTTAATGTTTGGTATTAAGGGGTGTTAAGTTAGGCTCCACCCTAACCTCCTCCATCTTACGAGTAAAAATAGCAAAGAGAAAGATAAAGAATAGAAGAAAAGAGAATTAGAGAATAGTGGAGTAAAAGAAAGTAAATAAATAGAAATTAGAGTAAAAGTAAAGAAATAAGAAAATAATAGAAGAAAGGTAAATACAAGAGCAATTATTGTTACACCCTAACTGCACGATTTATCTAGTACAATACTAAACGCAATTATAATAACTATATATGTAAATACTGTATTATTATTTATAAATATAAATAAGAACAAGACAACAATTATTTATATGTTGATTGTATGTAGAAGTCCGCGTGCTTTATTGGGCTAATGAAAAAAATTTTTGGAAAATTTTTGAAAATTTTGGAAAATTTTGGAAAATTTTTGAGAATTTTGGAAATTGAATTTTGGAAAATGGAAAATTTTGGAAAATTTTTGAAAAATTTTTGAAAATTTTGAAAATTTTCATCAAAATTTTCCAAAATTTTCCAAAATTTTCAAAAATTTTCCAAAATTTTCAAAAATTTTCAGAAATTTTCCAAAATTTTCCAATTTCCAAAATTTCCAAAATTTTCCAAAAATTTCGAAATTTTTTGAAAATTTTTAAAACTTGAAAACTTTTGAAAATTTTGGAAAATTGGAAATAATTTTGAGAAATTTTTGAATTTTAGTAATTTTGAAAATCTTTAAAATTAAAATTTTTGAAAATTTCGAAAATTTTCAAAATTTTCGAGTAATCTCAAAAATTTCCAAAATTTCGAAAATTTTCAAAATTTTCCAAAATCTGTACTCGAAAATTTTCCAAATCTTCCAAAATTTCAAAAATTTCAAAAATTTCGAAAATTTTGAAAATTTAAAAATTTTGAAAATTTGAAAAATTTTGGAAAATTTTGAAAACTTTGAAAATTTTGAAAATTTTTGAAAATTTCGAAAATTTTGAAAATTTTGAAAATTTTGGAAAAATTTCAAATTTTGAAAATTTCAATTCTTGAAAATTTTTGAAAATTTTTGAGAATTTCGAAAATTTGAAAATTTTGGAAAATTTTGAAAAATTTTGAAAATTTTCAAAAATTTTTCCAAATTGAGAATTTTTTCAAATTTTCCAAATTTTCAAAATTTTCTTTTTCAATTTTCCAAATTTTCTGATTCTTCTGAACTCTTTCAAATTTTCCAAAATTTTCCAAAATTTTCAAATTTTGAAAATTTCGAAAATTTTGGAAATTTTGAAAACCTTGAAAATTTGGAAATTTTGAAAATTTTGGAAAATTTTGAAAATTTGAAAAATTTTGGAAAATTTTTTGAATTTTGGAAAATTTTGGAAAATTTTGAAAATTTTGAAAATTTTGGAAAATTTTTGGAAAATTTTGAATTTTTGAAAATTTTGAAAATTTTGATTAGAATTTTAAAATTTTTGAAAATTAAAAAATTTTTGTACTTTTCAAATTTTCAAAATTTTCCATCCAAAATTTTCCAAAATTTTCAAAAATTTTCGTAAATTTTCCAGAATTTTCGAAAATTTTAAAAGGATTTTTTCCAAAATTTTCGAAATTTTGAAATTTTCAAAAATTTTCAAAAATTTTTCCAAAAATTTTCAAAAATTTTCCAAAAATTTTCCAAAATTTTCCAAAAATTTTCGAAAATAATAATAATAATAATAATAATAATAGTAATGGTTGTCCCTCAGTACCGAGGATGGACGGCCCAAGAGCCACCTAGGCGTGAATTTGTTTATTATAAGAAAAAAATCCATTTGACGAGTTTGGCTATTTTGCGGGGCGGTATTTGTCGGGAATGTAGTTACCGAAGGCAACTGGTGTGTGTGAGGAGACAGCTCCTGTGTATACTATTTTCCTACGCCCCACTTGGTGTGTCATTCTCGTCTTAGTCTTTGACGACGAGAAGACTCTTGGGAAGAGTGATGTAATATTCGGTGAGGTTGAGATCTGAATCTTCTTCAGTGAGTGTTTTTTATTCGTGTGATCGTTTCAGTACCGTTACAGACATGACAGTGAAGGTGGTGTTGACTGTAGTGGTGGTGACCCTGGTGTTGACAACAGCCTCAGGTGTTGGGCAGGACTTCGTTGAGTACGAGTACACACCACTACTATATAATTACTCAACAAAATGGACCAATAAACACATCGCTTCAGCAGACAGTGTGGTGTATAACTCTCTGTTATATAATGCAACGCTGCAAAAATGTTGGTGTTTGGGGACCAAGTGTGGGATGGGTCACAGTGTACAGACACTACAACCAGTGTGGTGGTGCAGGACCTGAGACAGGGGGCGTTGTTGTCGTCAAAACCAATGAATTTGGTAGTGTGAAGGTCAGGGGAGCCCCAGTGTCCCCGGGTCACTCATTTGTTGTGCTCGACTCTACTCGTGAGTCAATGGACCAGTTCTCCCTCCTAGACTCTGGGGCAGTACTGGCAACAACATCAATATCATCAGTATTGTATCGAGCACACGCTGCATGAAGGAGGAACCAAACTCCTGGGAGGCTCACGTGTGCCTCTCACTCCAAAGGTACCTCGGTGCTGTGCCCGAGCCTCTCCTCAGGGCTGACAACTTTGCACCGCCACAACCAACCATGTCTTCACACCACCCGTCATGGTGGACGGAGTGCTTATTAAGTGGTCGGTCGAGGAGATGGAGATATTAATAATGTGACGTGTGAGGATTTGAGGAGCTGATGATCCAACTGAACACTGATGGGTCGTATCTCACATACTTGTCAGGTGAAGCGTCTTTAGTGTGGTCGCCACCCAACTCACAAGGTTCAGAGCAGCGGCAAGATTACTGCGTGGGTGTGGAAGCAGGGAAAGATGACTACTTTGTCAGACTCTGTTATGAGGACCCCATCACCAGCCACCACAGACAGCGTAGGGACGCCACCTACGTGCGCAAGTGTTGTCCAGAAAATCAGTTAAATAATGGATCTGTTTGTGTTCCTGCCACAAGTGACAATGAGTTGTGGAAACCTTCATTTTATAACCCTGATAACTTGACCCTTGATGTTGATTTAAGAGTTGTTTATGGATATCCGTCTTGTCCGGCCATCTCCAGGTTAATAGCTCAAAAAAGGAAATATTCTTGCTGAGTAATGGATTCTTAAGTGTTTCCACCTACAAAAAGCCATATCCCCCTGACCGCTACTGTGGAAAATTTTCGTGGCGAGGATGGCTCAGCTTCCACTGATGGACTGATCTGTTTGTGGGAGACGTTGCCGTGTTTAATTATTATCAGGAAGTACGTGAACCCGAGTTTAATGCTGGTGTCATGTGTGTTCCTCCTCCTGACCCTCGTGTCATATGCCAGTGTGCCAGAACTACGGAACAAGTTACACGGCAGGAGCCTCATGTCCCTGGTGTCGGCGCTGTTCGTCGCCTACATCCTGATTGCCAGTATGTTCCTGTCGGGCGGCAACATGTCTCATTCTCCTTGTTTACTTACAGGTCAGTGCAACAATATTAGTGTAATTTTAAAATTTCTTTTGGGTTCGTAGTCTCAGAGGATCATAGGGTAAACATTTCCTCATACTGGAGACGTGGAAGTTTTTTTGTTTACTGTACTTAAGGGACAAGACAATGACCACATCGAAAACTAATTTACAGTTGCACTCATGATTCATCATACCTGCAGGTGTTTCTTGCAGACTCCTAATACTAAGAAAATATTAACTTGCTTTTCCTTGAATAACCGAGACCAAAGCCCTTTTTAACCCCATCTTTCACCGCTTGACTCACTCTGTATACTATTGTGTGGTCAGCTTCAATTTGAGAAGTGTGCAGCCTTATGTGAAGCTCACATTATTATTATTATTATTATTATTATTATTATTATTATTATTATTATTATTATTATTATTATTATTATTATTATTATTATTATTATTATTATTATTATTATTATTATTATTATTATTATTATTATTATTATTATTATTATTATTATTGCTGTTGTTGTTAGATGAAGGAAATGATGGTTTATTATACGTCTGTCTTGTTATGTTTTTTCTACTTTTTCTCTCTTCTATCTCTCTTTCTCTGTTCTCTTCTATTTCTATCTATTTCTTTTTCTGTGTACGTTTCTCTTCTCTCCCCCACTTTCGCTATTCTCTCCTCTCTCATCGACTCTTGAGACTTGACAAATAATTTGCATGCATCTCTGACTAATAGTTGTAAACGGTGCGGCACCTGGCTTATTGAAGGTTCCAAGTGGGTAC